AATTATTGTGCATTTTATTGTGTACTAACAACGAGAAATAAGCTGATTAATGAAAGAAAAGTACCACGAAAATCCACTATTTTAGATTTATTTACTATTCTCTCACACAAATGCTGAAAATTCATGGCACATTTTTTTGAAAGTGTGATTGACTTTGCATTTGCCCCGGGCGGTCGGGCGACTTACCTTCATCATTTTAAGCCGCTCGCTTCGTTGCGACATGGCAGCCGTTTGCTCATCGATGCGCTCCAGCATGTGGACCAGTTTTTTGTTGCGCTCGTTGCGTTTGGCCTGCTCCTCCAGGAACTCCTGGTACTTTTGGCGGGTCTTATGGCGCACCGACTTGTCGCTGCAGTATAAATACGGCTCACCTTTTAGGGCCAATGGGGGAACATGACAAAAGCTACTTACAGCTCGCTGCGCTTCTGCAGGACCTTATCCAACTTGTGCTCCAGTTGCTGGCGATTATCCTCGCTGTGCAAAAAAAATCGAGCAGTGAGTCAAAGGACATGAATATGATTTGTAAGCTCCTGCATATGTACATGAAAAGCTTTGGAAAGAATGACAAACACAAAGCAACGGCCATGGCCTTTGTATGACTAACTGCTCACAGGGCATTTTAAATATCGAAGAAAAGAATCAAAAGTAATGCACCCAATACGTAAATGCACAAGAGGATATGCAAGTAAGGTTTATTATTTTTATTTAATGTTAATGCTAAACTAATTTTTGTAATAAAGTTGTTAGTACTAGCATTCAGCCGAGGGACAAAATATATCCGTTTATTTTTAAATATTGGGAACGAGCAATAGCTTTTACCTTTACAAAATTACGTTAACTGCTTGAAATGGAAAATTACGAACATAAAATGGAATTTTATAGTCATTTTTGTTGTTTTGCAAAGTTATTAGTTAAATTTGCTTTAATAAGCTTGAGGCTCTCGTTTTTATTGTATAACAGGGACACTGAAAAACGTGAGCTTTAAAAATAAGTATCTAAAATATGGTTATTCTTATTGATTATTTATAAATTGGTGAATGTAGCTTTAAAACGATAACGATATGGACAGCGTTTAAAATTCTTAAACGTCAATTGTATAATACAAAAATTAAATATTTTAATGATTTTATCCACTTAGCATTCGAACACTAAAAGTCTAGTGGATACAACACATTTTAATTAAATTTAGAGAAAATAAACTTTTTAATTTTAACCAAGTTGCATTGCTAGTTGTAATATTATTATAAATTAACCTTAAGAAGTCAATAGAGTTCCCTTCTCTATTTTGCAATCATTTACTATTAATATTGCTCATATTTTCGATCTGCTTACCTGCGCTGCAGCTTCTCCTGTAGCAGCTCCACCTGCAGCTTGTAGTTCTCCAGCTCGGCTTGTGGAAACATGGCTTAAACGGGGGGAATATCGGGGAGTATCCGTTCCTTCTGGCCCGAACCGCTGCGAACTTTACCACTTGGCGGCTCTGACTCAACTGGCCATATGCACTACAGCCCGCTATTGACACAGTTTGCTTGCCACGGGGATATTAATGCGACAGTGTGTTCTATTTTAAGGCAACTTTATTTGAATGGCCGCATTAAATACGTGTTCGTATGGGTGATTGGCATTTGTTTTGTTGAGTCGCGTTGTCATGGCTGCCCGGTTTCTTGGTGGTTCCTTTGCGTATTTATTTTGGTGGTTGCTTGGCATTGGCCAGGGGCAATTGGCCCTTATCGATTTCCCTAGACGGCTTTCCCAACGTGCCACGCATTGAGGAGCAGCGGCAGCAGTAGCGGCAACTAACTTTCGATTTTTCGCCCCATGAATTTCACATTCCACAGTCGTTGTTTTTTGTCCGGCCTGTGGTATACTAATTACACGCCCAGCAAGTAGGTCACTTCTTTCTGAACTCCGGCCAGTTTTCTGTTCGGTTCTTGGCTTGGTCGGGCCCAAAAATCGTGAAGAGTCGTCTGGGGTCACCGGACCCGGCCGAGCCATTTATAATGCATTGCACGGGATTTGCCTGCACGAGTGGGTCCAGCTTCTTCCATTCCTTTTCTGATGAGTGTAAACACATGTTGTTGTCGCACACTCGCACCCGGACTTACACTGAGAAGATATGTATTAAAGTAATTTTTTCTGTGGCTTGTTTAAACATCATTTTTATTATATATATTTATAATAATTTTTAAAACTAGGTAATATAACGTTACATGACAACATGACTAACAGAATTAAATTAAATTGTATATTTTCCTATAAAAGAGCAAATGGATTTTTCAGAGCATAATGATTTTATTTATGTAGATTATTATTGTATTATTTTTATTGTTTCCCATCTCAGTGGTTTTTTCGATAGCAATAAAGTCAAAAGGGTACCGAATTCAATTATGCGCAAAATTATGTCAAAGGTAAAATTAATATGGCGATAATTTCTCTCAGTGCAGACCCTACCCTTTGTGTGCGGCCAAGCGTGCGCCACCTGAATGTGAATTAATGGTAGTGGCGTCTATCACTCCCCAGGCCGCAGACAACAGCAGAGGGCCTCTCACTCTCGCTGACATATTCACACGCTCACCACGGTGTGCTGCATGTCCTGTATGTCCTGTATGCCCTGCTGCATGTCCTGGCTGCCATCATCAGCGTTCCCAGCGTCAGCAGTGACCACTCTCGTGTTCCTGTTCCTACCAGAGCCACTGGCACACGGCAATTGCCACCGAAGCCACAGCAACTCCGTGTCCTGCTTGACTTGCTCCTGGCTTTGGCGTTGGCGTTAGCGTTGGCTTCGCTCGTCCTGGCCTGGCTCCTCCATGTGGCACATGTATAGTATATGCCGGCGTTGTCACGGTGTCGTGGTTGCGAGCCGCAATATAAAACTTTTGGTTATTTACATGTACGGGATAACAAACGGCCGGTAGGGGACTGTCATAAGTGCGGCGGGTTATCTCCGCGGTTCCTCGTTTCAGGACACCGAATGTTGATGGGTCAGTGTGCAAGGGCTCATGTGTGTGTGTGTGACCAGACCAGAGGCTCTGTTTAAAGGGGGAAGCAAATTTTATATTATTACTTCCTCACCAGAGACACTTGCAACTAAGTGCATTTAATTTCATTTATTAAGTTTCATGTTGATTAATTTATACTTTTACCTTTCACTCCCACCAGTCGCCTTCCTTGACCTTTGTCAAGGAACTAAAATAAACTTGTTGCCAAGCGACCAGGACCACGAACAAATTCTTCTTGTCACTACCAATTCGCGTAACTGAAATTCGTGGAATTCCTTAAGCGGTGGCTAAGAGTACTGAAAGTTCATATTCGAAAGGTAAAATTTATAAAGATCGGAGTATCCACTCTGATGCAAAAATTTACAAATTAAATTATAAAATTGAAGAGCTAATTAACAACGTTAAATATAAAATAACAAGAAAACTATATTTATCTTAAAAATTTATGAAACAAGAAAGGAAAGCTAACTTCGGGCGGATCCGCAGTTGATATACCCTTGCAGAATACTCTGTAAATTATATTCTCCAAAATTATTCATATGATGCATTCTTAATACTGATAAAAAATCCCTAATTCCTAACTTTAAAAACACCAAAGTTATGGCGTTTCCAATCGTTCAGTTATATGGCAGCTATAGGATATAGTCAGCCGATGCTTATGAAATTTGGTAGGTCGGATTGATTGGCCAAAAATAAAACCCATAGAAAATCCCAACTTTCTAACTTAACAAACACCAAAGTTATGGCATTTCCGATCAATCAGTTATATGGCAGCTATAGGATATAGTCGGCCGATCCCGGCCGTTCCGACATATATACTGCGTGCAAAGGAAAGAAGGGTGTGTCCTAAGTTTCAGTTCGATATCTTTAAAACTGAGAGACTAGTTTGCGTAGAAACAGACAGACGGACAGACAGACGGACAGACGGACATGGCTATATCAACTCAGGAGGTGATCCTGATCAAGAATATATATACTTTATAGGGTCGGAGATGTCTCCTTTACTGCGTTGCACACTTTTGACCAAAATTATAAAACCCTCTGCAAGGGTATAAAAAGCGAAAAATCAAGCCGATGTTTTCCGCATTTTGACCAAAAAATTTTTATACCCTTGCAGAGGGTATGTTTATCCCAAATAATCTCCTGACTGAGAACAAGTTTCTTCAAAAAAGAGTGGTTTAATGTGCCAAATTAATTATATTTTATTTATTTTGAATACCTATTTCTTGGCCATTTTGAATGCTCTACAAATCTATAAATTTCCTCTTTAAATATCTCCCGAATCGGTGGTGGTGTTATCAGTGGAACAATCAATGGAGTTATCAGTGGAGCCATCAGTGGAGTCATCAATAGAGATATCAGTGGAGCTGCTGTCGGTGGTGCTGGCAGGCAAACTATTCTCAGTGGCGGTTAGAAATGTCATGGGCGCATGTGCGATGTGGGAATCGCAGTCCACATCAGTCACTCAGTCCACGCAGTCATTATCTTCATCACCCCCAGGACCGCCAAGATAGATAATATCTCCATCGCGTAAGTTAAAGGCATCCTTAAGTCCTTTGATATCAACGCCAGCCCCAACGCCGAATTCACCGAATTGAAAATCAAATGTGTTACTTCTTTGGGCCACGACCACTGTGACCAGAGCCAGAAGGGTAATTGCAATGCAGGCACGCATTCTCATACTTTTGCTCCAATCGCAACTGATTTGAATTGCCAACGCCAAGCCCCTTTTATAGCCAAAAACTCGAAAACATCACCAAAATGCAGCCAATTCTCCGTGACGTCAGCTTCATCTGTGTGCTTAGCTGGAATCTCCGAACAATGGAGAATTGCTAGATTGGGAGGTTATTCTATTTTGCAAATGATCAATATTTACCTTTATAAAAAAACAAGAAAAAGTTTTTTAAATTTGTAAAACATCTAGATTGTGTTGCTATTTTCCCGAAATAAAATTGCAGTCAAACAACATTTTTAGTATCAATTTTGAAAATGGAACTATTTATTGGGAATACGAAGCTTTACCCCTTGTAGCATGTAACCTGCAAGTATTGTTCTACAAGCTAATGCCGCTTTTGCCTGAGAGACTCTGGAAGCTCATTGTATCGTTCTTAGTTAATAGGGAGTTTTCTGTAGATATTTGTGGACATCGTTCTGGACTTCGCCCAATTCGCGCTGGTGTCCCGCACCCGTGGTTCACTTCTTGCCACATATACAGATGGCACTGCATTTCTTGCAGCTGGTAGCACTATAACGTCTGCCTCCCGACGTGTCCAGACATTCTTGGATGAATTTGAGTGCTGGGCTTCTCGATGGAATATTGCGCTAAATGTTGACAAAACGCAGCATAAAACATTTGCTCTCCGCCCTGGCCGTTCGCGTAGCTTCTACATTGATGGAAATAGGCTCAAGCAAGAAGCCTTTGTTGGAAGGGACAAATTGATCGAGTCTGTGGGTCAGCAAGAACACAACTTGACAAAATGGACTGGCTTCTTCGTCCAGGTAGCGGCCTATCCCTTCAAGCCAAGGTGCGGCTTTTTAAGGCCATGGTCCTTCCGACTTTAAACTGGGGAATCACTTTCGGGGGCACGGCCTGTGATTCATCACCAAAAAGGGGTGCAAACGTGCATTACAAAGGCTCTCAGGAGGATGCTGGGGTTGAAGTGGCTCCATAAAAGAAAACCGAGTTATGTTCCAGGGCACGGGAGTGCCGACGCACTTTTATAAATATCTTTTTGTATTGCAAGGAATATTAAGTCAGAAAAGGTTTATCCCAAATAATCTCATTTTTTTACTGATTGTTTGATCAGCTACCACTTAAGAATTGGTAAAATGATCTTGGCCAGTGATCACATTTAATTAAATTATAATCATAACCTTTCAGTTCTTATCATCTAAGAAAAAGCATCTTCAAAAAAGAGTGGTTTAATGTGCCAAATTAATTATATTTTATTTATTTTGAATACCTATTTCTTGGTCATTTTGAATGCTCAACAAATCTACAAATTTACTCTTTAGTCTCTTCCGAATGACTCCCAGAGCCATTAGGGGAGTCATCAGTGGAGCTTTTGTCGGTGGTGCTGGCAGGCAAACAGTTCTCCGTGGCGGTGATGATAGGTATTGGGCGACGTAGGTGAAGTGGGAAACTTGGTGCATTATAATATTCACCATCATATTTAGCATCACCAAAACCGTGATAATTAAAGCCAACGCCAACGTCAACTTCACCAACCTGAACGCGGACTCCCTGGCCGTATCCACCATCGTAACCGTAACCTTCTTGGCTTCCTCCACGACCATTACCGCTCCATCTTTCGGCCACAACCACTGTGACCAGAGCCAGAAGGGTAATTGCAATGTAGGCACGCATTCTCAGACTTTTGCTCCTATCACAACTGATTTGAATTGTCTACGCCGAGCCCCTTTTATAGCCAAAAACT